ATAACCAAAATTATCTTGAGTTTCAGGTTGGAATATCAAGAGTCTATAAACATTTTTATCTGGGGGAGTTTCTACCATCCATTTTTAAAATTTTGTAAATTAAAATATAAGTATGTAATTCTTTTACTTTCCTCCATCCAATTGTGCCCCAATCCAATTTTACCTTCCTTCTCCCATTACAGCTTCTCAAACTAATGCCCTCTAACATTTTAATTGTTTTTTATACATACATATATACATGTGTGTGTATCATACATTCCTAAATATATAGATACAATCTAATGAATACATATGTTACTTATATGCATATGGTTTCAGAATATTTTTTCTTATACTCACAGATAAGTGTATCTTTCATCCCTCAACAAAGAAACTTGTCTTTGCAACATGTGGAGACCATTACAGAAAAGCACAACTGATCCAATGAAGAAAACGAGGGATTATTGGGTGTCCAGTTTTATATGATCCATTTAATCTACTCCGTCTGATCCACACAACTAAGACATCTAAGGCTCAGGGAACTGTAGCTAGAGTTTTCCTGCCTTGCCCACAGTCAGGACAAATCTTTGTCACCTGCCAGTCCCACAGCCGCTTAGACCCAACCAAGTAAACACAGAGACTTATATTGCATACAAACTGTATGGCCGTGGCAGGCTTCTTGCTAACTGTTCTTATAGCTTAAATTAATCCATTTCCATAAATCTATACCTTGCCACGTGGCTGGTGGCTTACCGGCATCTTCCCATGCTGCTTGTCATGGTGGTGGCTGGCAGTGTCTCTCTGCCTCAGCCTACCGCTTCCCAGAATTCTCCTCTCTCCTTGTCCCACCTACTTCCTGCCTGGCCACTAGCCAATCAGTGTTTTATTTATTGACCAATCAGAGCAATTTGACATACAGACCATCCCACAGCAGGGAACATCATGGAAGTGGGGGAGGAAAGAGTGTAACAGGAAGTTTGCCGTGGAATTATTTCTTCTAGAAATGTTAGGGAAGCTACACCTGAAAATTCTTAACAATATGGGTGCCTAAAAAAGGACATGATAAGGATGACAACAATTGACATGCTAATCCAGAAGGGGTAAATCTCATGAGGCCCTCAATCCTAGGCAAAAATTATATACAACTAATGAATACTTATGGTGACAGAAAATTGTGTTCTCCAGGGAAGAGCTCTCCAATTGCTTATCCTGAGCCAAATGGTCAACCACAAATCTTTTTATTACCACAGTTCAGTGATTAGGACCTTTTATTCTTGTTACTGAGAATTTTCTCTACAAAACAGTGGCTTGGTGTCAGAGGAATCAGTCTTTATTTGCAGTGGAAGCTGAGTTAAATGCTGCAGATATACTGGTTCAGTGTGGTAAACTCATTTGGGAGTGAGTGGAAACAACTGTCAGTATTCAGATGTGTATCTTTATTCTGAAAAAGCAGCTAATAAGCCATCAGTTTAGCTGGGAGATCTTGAAATAAGATGGGGACAGTTGAGTACTGCATGCATCTCTAGCTGTATAGAAACAATAAATGTACAATGTAAAGCTGCAAAAAACAGGAGCAAGCGAGGTCAAGATCATGACAGGGATCTCATTCATTTCCCCTTCCCAAGGTGCTCCTTGAGGTTCTTCTTCTTAGCTAGCCTCTCTGGAACTGTGGGTTGTATTCTGATTATACTTTGCTTTTCATCTAGTATCCATTTATGAGTGATTACATACCATATTTGTCCTTCTGAATCTGGGTTACCTCATTCAGGATGATATTTTATAGTTCTATCCATTTGCCTGCAAATTTCATAATGTCATTCTTATTTACTGCTGAGTAGTATTCCATTGTGTATATGTGTCACATTTTCTTTATCCATTCTTTGGATGAAGGGCATCTAGGTTGTTTCCAGGTTCTGGCTATTACAAGCAATGCTGCTATGAACACAGTTGAATGTGTGTTCTTGTGGTATGATTGAGCATTCCTTGGGCATATGACCAAGAGTGGTATGGCTGGCTTGTGAGGTAGACTGACTCTCAATTTTCTGAAAAATGCCATACTGATTTCCAAAGTGTCTGTAAAGGTTTGCACTCCCATCAACAGTGGAGGAGTGTTCCCCTTGCTCCACATCCTCTCCAATAAAAGCTGTTATCAGTGTTTCTGATCATAGCGATTATGACAGGTATAAGAGCTGGAACAGGGATGGAATGGAAGAGCAATGAAAGAGATAACATGATAGAGGGAGACACCATGGGGATAGGGAGAAGCTGGGTCCTGGGGAGGTTTGCAGAAATCCATAAGGATGACCCCAGCTTAGACTACTAGCTATAGCAGAGAGGGTGCATGAACTAGCCTACCCAGGTAAGTGAATCAGATTAGTGAATACCCTAACTGTCATCATAGAGCCTTCATCCAGTAAATGATGGAAGCAGATGCAGAGATCCACAGCCAAGCACCAGGCCAAGCTCCAGGAGTCCACTTGAAGAGAGAGGAGAGGGATTCTATGATCAAGGGGCATCAAGATCATGATGGGGAAACATACAGAGACAACCAAACCAAACTAAAGGGAACTCATGAACTGTGAACCAATAGCTGTGGAGCCTCCATGGGACTGGACTAGGCCCTCTGCATAGGCAAGACAGTTAGGTAGCTTGATCTGCTTGGGGGACCCTGGCAGTGGGAGCAGGATCCATCCCTAGGACGTGAAAGGTTTTTTGGAGCCCACTGCTTATTGTGGGACAACTTACACAGCCTTGGTGCAGGGGGAGGGGCTTGGACCTGCCTCAACTGAATGTTTCAGGCTCTACTGACTCCCCATGGGAGGCCTTGCCTTGGAGGAGGTGGGAATGGAGGTTGGGATGGGGGGGGGGGGCGGAGCCGGAAATCACAGAGACGGCTGACTCAAGCTAACGCAGCTCATGGACTCCGTGGACTCTGGCCTGTCAGCTGGGGAACATGATGCATGGGACCGAACTAGGCCCTCTGAATGTGGGTGACAGTTTTGTGGCTAGATCTACTGGGGGAGCCCCTGACAGTGGGACCAGGACTTGTCCCAGTACATGAAATGGCTTTTTGGAACACATTCCCTAGGGTGGGATACTCTGCTCAGCCTTGACACAGTGGGGAGGGGCTTGGTCCGGCCTCAATTTAGTATGCCAGACTTTGTTGACTCCCGAAGGGAGGCCTTACCCTCTCTGAGGAGTAGATGTGGTGTGGGCTTGGGGGAGGTAAGGGGGTGGGAGAAGGAGAGGGAGGAGAAAGTGGGATTGTTAGGTAAAATGAAAAAAAAAATTTAAATAAATAAATTTTTAAAAACCTGAGTAAATGTGAAAGCAAAGGGAAACCATATGCTCAGTATACATGTATAAATAAATGTATGGAACTTTCAAAATATAAAAATATTTAAAATTCAAAACCAAAATGTAGAAACTTGTGAAGGGGTTAGAAATTTGCACGGTTGTCATAATCTGTGCACAGGTTGATCAGCAGAAGATGATTGCTGAGGGATTCTGGGTGTTGGTGTGCAATCTACCCAAACCATTAACTCACTACTCAAGTAAGTGTTCACAGGGAAAGTCTTGTGAAGGAAGCTTAAAAGGGCAACAATGACGGCAATCAAAAACAGTGGTGATGATGGTAACAACTAAGAAGACCTAAGCGTTCACATACCGAAATTTCCCTCCATTGACCAAAGGGTAGAACAAGGCAAACAACACTGAAAATTTAAAATATAAAACAAAATTCAGAGTAGCTCCAACATGTACAGTTTCTCGCTAAGTATATCAAGAAAAGAAAAAGCCACATTTTTATGCCTAATGTATGGTAAGTGTTAGCAATGATTGTTAAAATAGCTAGTTCTAGGTGCAATAAGATAACAAAATGTGAGTGAGTGGAAAAGTTTCCATATAAGGGTGATCACAATTAAGTTAGAAGTATAACATCCTTGCAAAGAAATGAGTAAAGAGTTAAACATATGCAAAAGAAAACTGTTTCAAATTCTGAGGGCTTAATGACATACTGAATTTTATTTAGGCTATGGAAAGTTGAATGTAGTTGAAAGTAGCATATGAAGAATGACCTGGTTAGGCTGAGGTCCAAGGTCAAATTGAGCTGAAAGCTTCAGAATAAGTGTTGGTTGTGAGATAATCAGAGCAGACGTAAATAATACCAGTTTAAAAATACAGAAGTTTGATTCAGGGACAGAATTGATGAGTCCACCCAGAGATTTTTTTAAACTTGATTCAAGTGTCAAGCATCAGAGGTCACCCTGTGTGTGCCTGGCAGTAGGAATCCTTACTCAAACCCTGCTAAGTAACTGCTTTCACATTCTTCTTAGAACTTATAAGGCCTTATACTCCCTTCTATTATTACTGGAAAATTGGGCAGAAACCATGGCATAGACCCCAATAAGGACCATGGCCTATTCCAGAAGGAAAATTAGCCTTTTCACCCCAGAGATTATTCCTAAGAGCTCAGTCAGACCTGGTTTCCCATGTGTCCTACTGCTTAGATAATCAGCTGCCTCGGTAACAAGGTCTCAAGGTACTTTGTTGCTTGTATTTTGACTTCTGTCACTGCCCACTAGGGAGAAAAACTGCTATTTTGGAGAGAGATACTTAGCAATTGGGACAGCAGTTTAATACCTTGTTGAGAACCTGATGCCATAGTTACTTCTAACTAACCCACTAATGATTTACTCCGCTAGGTTGAACTGAATGTCTTGTAAAGCGTGCCGGCCTTCATTTTGATCTCAGACACAGGAAGACTTGAGTCTAGCAGTGTTTCTTTGCTTCATGGTTGTTTTTAGGCATGACATTCTTGGGGATGGCCAGAGAGTTATTAGCAAACAAGAAGTAGGATTAAGCCATAAGTTGCATGTAAGACACTAGTGACTCTGTTATAAGGAAACTCATAGACTATTCTGTATCCTATAGTCAAGGAATGGGTGGATTTTAAATGAAAGGCATTGACTAAACCCTATGAATCATTTTACAATTCAGTAAAATCTGAAACCTATTATTTCAGGTGGTTACATTTTCAGGGTGGTGGATATAACTCATCTATGAACAGAGCCTCTAAAAGTTGGAAGGAAGAAGATACCTGGTGAGTCTGATTTTCTTTGGTATTGAGTGTGGGGAACAACGCTGGAGCCTGTGTTCAGCTGCCACACAGACAGCTGAAGTCTACAGAAGATGGGGAACACAGTCGTTTATAAGGGAGAATATGATTTCTGTGAATCTGGGGATATAGATGAATCACTAAATAATGCAGAGAGGAGTGAAATAAAACCCATCAAGGGCCTTTAATTGGGTCCGTATTCCAAAGACTCTTCAAGAATGCAGTCTCGTAGCATACGAAGACCACCATGGTCATTTTTCTCTCCCTCCCACTAATACAGTCTTTTATTTATGACTGTTGAACATAGTGAATTGCTGAAGAAATTATTTTGATGGATGAAATAAAAATAAGTCTTGGACATAGCAACCAGAATGCATAGGAAACATTAAAATTTCAGTAGTGAAAAAAAGAGGCCATGAATTTGAAGTAGAGTGAAGAGGGGTATGTGAGGGGGTGTGAAGGGAGGGAAGGGAAGGGAGAAACATTACAGTTAAATTATAGCCTCAAAAATACACAAAAAATTAAAATGTTCATGAAGCAACAGGGTAAGATTTTTCTTTAGGAAGATCTAGAGATACTTTGTTTACCTAGTATTGGACCATGGACAAGCCTTGCTTTACCCTTGTTGTTTATTTGAAAAAAAAAAGGAAAGGTAACACAAAATCCAGAGTCACAGACACTTTCTGAGTTTGATGTTTCTTTCTATCTTTACATTACTTCAGTTTTTTCTCATTTCTTTCCCTTCTCATCTAAATGTCCAAGACACTAATGACATAATATTACTCTTGCCAATGCTTTTTAATGTACCACCCCATTCTCTGCTTCCTACTGATTATTATGTCTCCTGGAGTCTATCACATATTTGTCCTAGCATTCTATGCTCCCTACCGATGATTACGTCTCCTGGAATCTACCATTTATTTTTCCTGGAATAGAATCTTTAAAGATGTTAATAATTCACAGCTGATTAATGGAATGGTGGAAAATAGAAACAGGGATAGTCAAAGCCATGGTCATGGATGAGATCTTCCAGTAAACAAAATGGGATTAATTGTAATTTTAGTGTGTACACACACAATGAGACTGATTTATTGCTGATGGTTTCCACACTTAACCAAACATGGGATCTGGGAGTCACTGAAACATGTTCCTAGGTGTTTTGATTAGATAGGCTATTCTGATCCAAGAGAGAAGTAAAATGAAGGGCATCAGCATGGAAAGGATTAAAGCAAAGCTAAAAATTTTTTTATCTACTCTATACCTTAGTAAGGATAGCACATGTGCATACGTCTAGTTGTTGAACCTTCAGAGAGGGTTTATTTTTCTTTTATTCTTCTCTGATATATTACATTCTGATTTTAGTTTGCCCTCCCTCCACTCTTCCCAGTCTTCCTCCCCACTTTCTCTCTCCCCCAGATTCACTCCTCCTCAGTTTCTGTTTCAGGTCTCCCAGGGATATTAACCCAACAAGGAATAAAATGTTACAGTAAAACTAGGCACAAACCCTCATATCAAAGCTGAATGGGGCAGCCCATTAGGAGGATAAAGGTCCTAAGAGCAGGGAAGAGTCAGAGACACCCCCACTCCTGCTGTTAGGAGTCCCACAAAAACACCCAGCTATACAACGATAACATACATGCAGAGGTCCTAGCTCAGAGCCCTACGGGGTCCGTGATTGCTGCTTCAGTCTCTGTGATCCCTTATGAGCCCTGCTTAGTTGATTCTGTGGGCTGTGTTCTCAGGGTGTCCTCAATCCCTCTGGCTCCTACAATCTCTAACCCGCTTCTTCTGTGGGGTTTCCCTGACTCTGCCTAGTGTTTGGCTGTGGCTCTCTGCATCTACTCCCATCAGTTGCTGAATGATGTTTCTCTGATGACAATTGGGCTAGGCACTGATAAATGAGCACAGCGCAATATCATGAGTAATCATTTCATTGATTTTTTTTCCTAGTTGTGTTTGATTCTACCCTGGGTCTCTGGGATTTCCAGCCCCTGGTTTCTGTCCATTCATGCAATCAGACATGAGCTCCCTCTTGAGGCCTGGGGGTACAGAGAAGATTATAGTAAATAAATTTTATTCACTGTTTTGTGTTGGTGTATACATGATGTGTGTGTGTGTGTGTGTGTGTGTGTGTGTGTGTGTGTGTGTGTGTGTGTGTGTAGGTACATGTGCCATGGCATGTATGTTCAGGTCAGATGATATTTTTGTGGAGTTGATTCTCTCCTTTTACCATTATGTGGGGGCAGAGCTCATACGCAGATGGCCCCACTGGCATGGTTAGTACATTTATCAGTGAGCTGTCTCCTAGCCCCATTAAGGTTTAATTTTTTTAACTATGAAAAAAATTCTATGTGTTTACAGGAGAGAAATGATAAAATTCATGTCAAGTTTAAGATATTCAAATGATTGTTTACAAATCCCTGAATTTTTAATTAAATTTCCTACCTCCATCTCTACCATAGTGTATTCTGGTTCCTTTGCAAAAGGAATATCCACTAATAACAATCCCATTTTAAAGGGCTTCCTGTGTGTAAAGTACTGGACCAGATTCTTCACCTACATTAACCTGGTTAATGGCCATGGCAGCTCTCTGCTATATTACTATAATCAATTTTCAAGTGAATTTGAATATTATGCTTAAAGGTTCAAAAAACAATTTTGGGATTTATGCAGGAGTATTTAATGACCAGATCTTTTTGCAGGGGGCGGGAGGCGGGGGGACATGATTGAAGCATTCAGGAAGAAGATATGAGCTTTGATCAACCAAATGAGATAAATGGGTTTAGAGACAACAGCAACAACACAGGAAATGATAACAGACATCAGAGTTTGAGCGTGGGTGGGAAGTAGAAATAAGAAGAGGGTAGAGACAGGAAAGATATCTTCAGGAGGAATTGCCTTGGAGCGAATGAAAAGTGGAAGAGAAACAATTCAATGGACTCTTGACTTTCTAGATGAAGTTAATTGTTAAGCTTGGCCAAGGGTACAAACTTGGATTTCCTCCAATAGTCTCCCAGGCTGAGAGCATTGTGAAAAGACAGAAAGTATAGACGGGCTAGCTCCTTTCTCTACCAAATAAATCATGAAATGAAGAAATGAAATGAGCATAAGACAATGATTCTTTCTGTGATTAAATGAATTTTCCCTTTCTGTGTGCTTATTTCCTCCTTGAAAGTATAACACCAGGCTCATTTATGCTCTTTCCTTCTTGGGGCTAGAATTCAAGAGTTCCTATACTGCCTTATAGAAACCATGTATTGTGGTGGGAGAGGATAGTTATGGCAGGATCTCTGAGAAGACAGGGAGTAGACATGCAGCTTTTTCTATTTTTCAGGATGACAATGGGTGGTAGACGCTGGGCTTATTGAGACAATGAAGACTGGGATGGGATTCTGTAGAGAACTCATCCTAGGATCTTTACAAGGAACTTGACATTGAATGCAACTGACAGGATTGAAAAAAATATTAATCTCGCCGGGCGGTGGTGGCACACACCTTTAATCCCAGCTCTCAGGAGGCAGAAGCAGGTGGATCTCTGTGAGTTCCAGGCCCGCCTGGGCTACAGAGTGAGTTCCAGGAAAGGAGCAAAGCTACACAAAGAAACCCTGTCTCGAAAAGCAGACAAACAAAAAAAAAATTAATCTCTGATGATTTTTATCCTTCCCTAGGTAAGTGTTCATTTGATCTAAGGTGTTATAATTCAAGTTATGTTGGGAAATATTTAAATATGCTGGTCATATTTAATATTTCAATTACCTTTCCCATGATCTAGATCTACTGTCAATATTAACAAGTTGTGTCTTGATTTCTTTAAAGAGTTTTACCACCAAATAAAAACAAAACAGTTTAACCAAAAGATAATGAATACCTACTAAACTAGGTGTATTTGGTATATACATGTGACAAGTTTGACCATAGGCATTCATTCAGGAAAACTTCACTACCACCAAGTAAAGGCGTATTCATCACCTTCAAGGATTTCCTTGTGTCCTTGATGTTCTTTCCCCCCACTTTGATAGTAAGACAATTAACATGAGATAAAAACCTTAAAACAATTTTTTAAGTTGGCAATGAAATATTACCAACTATATACACTATTCTGTAGGGATGATATGAAAACCTAATTCATGTTGTAGAACTGAAATGTTATAGCGGTTGAATTACCACTCCATAATTCCCTGGTCTTATACTCTGGTAAATACCATTCTTTGCTTTTACCATTTGACACTTTTAAAAACCTCATATAAATGAAACCACTCAGTATTTGTTCTTCTGTGAGTCACCCATTTAATTTGCCATATAATGATAATATATACTTATCCATTACTCATTTAACTTGCAATGTAATGATGATACTTATTTATCCATTATATTGCCAATGCAGTATTTCGTTCCTGTAATGCTGGATAGCATTCTATTCTATGTGTATGTCAGGCTTTCATTTCTCCAGCTTATGTCTAGGGACATCTACATTGTTCCCATAAGTTGTCGTTTATGCATTGAGCCACAGTAAATACAAATATACAAGAGTCAGCTGCTTAAAAGTTTTGTTTTCAATTCAGGTGTGCAGAAACTTGCTCATTATCACTAATCATGGGGGAAATGCAAATCCACAGCACAAGGAAATACTTGCTAACAGTGAGGTGATATATTACAAACCTACCATAAAGATAATAGCCAGAGTTGGGAAAAAAACTGGAAATCTTGCATATTGTTGGGGGGAATAGAAAATAGTGAAGTCAGTATGGAAAACTAGATACTTAAAACTTAAAGACAGAAGTATCAAATGCTTCAGCAATCCAATTTTCTGGCTAGAGGGTCAAAAATTGAAATCAGGTCACTGTCTCTACAAGTCTCCTTTAACTAGATTTTACTCTACATATTATTTGTATCTCTGCCCTGAATCCAAGGGTCCCCCTCTACCTGCTCTGCAGTTCAAAAGAAGAGGGTAGACACAGAGGAAGTCTGAACAAGGCAACAATAGCTGAGTCCTGATGACACTGGTGTCTAGAGCCCAGCCCGGGCAGGACATGCTCCTTGCTAGGTTCTTAGTCTTACCTGTTCCATTTTGTATTTGATGACTCATAACTTTCTTCCCTTTGCCTGGCTCTGTGAAGCCTACACCTGCCTCAATGTCAAAGAAGAATTCCACCTTTGTGACTGAGTTCCTCTTTGAAGGCTTCTCCAGCTTTGATTGGCAGCACAGGGTTGCCTTCTTTATTGTTTTCCTGACATTGTACCTTCTGACTCTGTCTGGCAATGTGATCATTGTGACTATTATTCGCCTGGACCGTCATCTCCATACACCCATGTACTTTTTTCTGAGCATGCTCTCCATCTCTGAGACTTTCTATACTCTTGCTATCATTCCTCGAATGCTCTCTGGCCTCCTTTATCCTTACCAGGCCATAGACATCCAAGGCTGTGCAGGCCAGCTCTTCTTTTATCTAACTTTTGGCATCAACAACTGTTTTCTTCTCACAGCAATGGGTTATGACCGCTATGTGGCTATCTGCAATCCTCTAAGGTATTCAGTCATCATGGGCAAGAAGGTCTGTATCCACTTGGCATGTGGGTCACTGGGAATTGGCCTAGGCATGGCTATTGTCCAAGTTACATCAGTGTTTGGCCTGCCCTTCTGTGATGGCTTTGTTATTGCTCACTTCTTCTGTGATGTGAGACCCCTGCTGAAGCTGGCCTGCGCAGATACCACTATTAATGAGATCATCAACTTCGTTGTCAGTGTCTGTGTCCTAGTCTTACCCATGGGCCTTGTCTTCATCTCTTATGTTGTCATCATCTCCACCATCCTTAAGATCGCCTCAGCTGAAGGTCGGAAGAAGGCCTTTGCCACCTGTGCCTCCCACCTCACTGTGGTCATCATCCACTATGGCTGTGCCTCCATCATCTACCTAAAACCCAAGTCCCAGAGTTCCCTTGGACAGGACAGACTCATCTCAGTGACCTACACTGTCATCACTCCTCTGCTCAACCCAGTGGTGTACAGTTTGAGAAATAAGGAGGTCAAAGAGGCACTGCGAAAGGCTATGGGTCTTAGGCCTCTTTCCTCTTAATGGAACAGCTTTTGAAGACGTTTTCTTTGATGATATAGGTGTGGATTTATTTTTCTGTTGTTTCAATAATGTTTTTATATATAAGGTCAAGAAAAGCAAATTAGTTTTAAGTGACTGGTAAAACGGAAGCTTCCTTCTGAGGTAGTAATGCATATCTGGGTCCTACTCTAAACATACATGGAAGTATGTGGTATAAAAATTTGTTCACCTGTGCTACTCACTCCTCTGTGCCTTTGTATGCATTTGTGTGTGATTGCACACATCTTAACAATGTTTTTTGGTTATTTACACAAATGAAGGAAGAATCAAAGTCTATCAGGGTCCTAAAATACATGAATAAATGATTTTGAACACATCTTGACAAAACTGCTTTGGTGAAGTTAAAGGAGTCAGGTTGTAGCCTTTGTCATAAATAAGTGAGGAGACAGGAACATATACAGCTTCCTGTCAAAAATGCTTTTGCATTCTGCTTTTGCAGGTTGTTAGTACTGCTTTATAATCAGGGTGACTTCCAAACTCTGGAGGCACATCTTCTAAGAACATGGAATGCTCCAGTTGACCTAGAAATCGCAAGTGTACACATAGTTTAAAAAGGTCTCAGGTACAATGAGAGGTGTGCTGTCCACATTCCTGAGATTCATACCTGACTGCATGCAAGAACACAGACTGAAATGGAGGCCGCATCAAAAGTTGAACATGATTTGATCAGTTGTTTTATGTAGAGGTTTTTTTGTGTGTTGCAAAGGACTATTTCCTTGATGAGTGGTTAAGTCTATACTTGTATATGAAGATTTGGAGCTAGGAGATTCCAATAAGAGAGAACATACAACCTGTGTATTTCTAGACCAAGGTTAACTCACTGAATATGGTCTTTTCTAGTTCTATCCATTGACCTGCAAAGTTCATGGTTTCATTTTTCTGTGCATATGAATAGTATTCCATAATATGCACCATACTTTCACTGTCCATTTATCAGTTGAAGGGCATATTTGTTGTTTCCATGTCCTAGCTAGTGTAAATATAACAGCAATGTGGAGCCCAATCCCAGGGGATATATTTACAAAACATCTTCCACGCCTAAGGCTCAGGCAATATTGCAAGAGAGGGGACAGAAAGATTGTAAGGGCCAAAGATTCAGAGAGTTGGCTGTGAGACTATGTCTCCTAGTAATATCAGAAGCGACACATCTAAAGTCTCACCAAAGTGAACCTAAACATGAGCTGAAAAAAGACAACAAATATAGGCATTCCAAAGTTGAACCCCACGAAACCTCACTTCTACACAAAGAAATACAGACAATTAAGGAATGTTGAGAGCTGGAGAAATAGTCTTACTCAGGGAAGAGCACATCAATTGGATATCCAATACCAAATGTTCAGCCCTAAAAACATTTATACAAGTAACATTATATAGACTGAACAGGTTATATTAAGGAACACACACACACACACACACACACACACACACACACTCATGTGACAACAGTTAACTAAAAACCTAGGCCACAAATTTGAAAGGGAACATGGAGCAGAATATTGGAAGGTTTCCAGAGAGGAAAGGAAAGAAAGAAATAATGGAATTAAATAATAATTTAAAAAAAGTTTAACATTTTTTCTCTTACTTCCAACACAAGAGTAAAGGGGGATAGAGGTTAAAAGAAGCCCAGAAAAAAGTAGAGTTCTCTTTAAGGGTGAGCCTCAACTCTAGAAAAAACATAGGTGTTACAAATGCACGCACTTTCACTACAACTTTGATAATATTTATTAATGAACAGAAGTCCAAGGCTACACTAAAAAGTATAGGTTGTTCCCCAACATTTTTCTTGGTTAATATTTGGAAGATTTTAAGATTTCTACTTAAAGCATAGTTCAATACAGCATTTAATGTCTATTTTGTTTATCACGGAATGTGAGAATGGATGTTCTGACTAGAGGAAGAAGCTCCTCTTCCACTGTTGTACTCCGTACTGGTCATCTATACTGGAGAACAAACATACCCAGAAATTCAAACAGTTTGTATGGTATCCAGAATGCATCTGATCCTGTGATATGATTCTCTAGAGATAATGCATCCCTTGTGAGGTGCTGGGGATTGAGTAAGTCTATGGAAATAAACAAGTCTTTAAATTCAAGTAAACATATGTCACTTTGAAAAAATAAATTGACCCATGGAGTTTGGTCTGGAATGAAGATAACTTTGCTTTTATGTCTGGATTTGTAGAACTGGTGTTGGTTTCACTTCTGTGATGTTGGTCAAAAAACAATTCAAAATATTTGCTTCACGGTTCTGGTGAACTCAGTTCAAGGCTGTTGAGTGTAAGTCTGATAGTGAGTGTAAGTCTGAAGTCATCTGTTGGATATTGATGTACATCCCCAGCTTG